CGGAGCATCGCTTGTACAGCGAAGCATCTATGCTAAGAGTTAAGAAGTATAATGCTTTGCTGTGCAAGCATGGAGCACCCCAATAGGCACCTAATAGAAGCTGAACCTCCACCTAGGCACATCAGAAAGGGAGTACTAGATCTTAAGGACACAATTCAATAAAACGTGCAACAACCGCTGGACAGGACGGCGTACAGACAAGCACTGAATGCCATTTACCAAGAGTCAGTCAACACCTTCAAGGACTTTCTTCCAGTGAATGACGTGCTCGGAGATAAATTACCACCTGACATAACTCAGATGTGGATACTGTAGAAGGTTAAACTTCTACTTATCCAGACTAAACCAATACTACCAATACTACCCATACCGGGGTTAGCGAGCCGCTACAAACAGGTGGTACAGGCATTCCCTGCATTTAGCAGACATTTTCTTCGAACGTTTAAATATATTGGTTGCCCAAAAAGTAATTGCGGATTTTTTATATAGTCGGCGTTGACAAATTTTTTCAACGGCTTGTGACTCTGTAATTGCATTCTTTCTTCTGTCAGTTATCAGCTGTTACTTTTAGTTTGCTTTAGAAAAAAAGTGCGCGAAATTTTGTTTACATTTGTTTGTTTGGCGTCAATTTTAATATGGAGCCCACAAAGGGGCATTTTCGTCATATTTTGCTTTATTATTTCCGTAAAGGAAAAAACGCGGAGCAGGTTACTAAAAAGTTACGAGATGTGTATGGTGATGAAGCCTTAAAAGGAAGACAGTGTCAAAATTGGTCTCGCAAATTCTGTTCTGGATATTTTTAACTTAAAGGTGAGCCACGTTCAGGTCGGCCAAATGAAGTTGATGATGACCAAATCAAAGCATTAATCGAATTGGATCGTCATGTAACTGAGCGTGAGATAGGAGAGAAATTAAATATACCAAAATCAACCGTTCATTATCCCATAAAAAGTCTTGGACTGATGAATTCTGGAGATGAAAAATGGATTGTTTACAACAACGTTAGTCGAAAACGATCATGGTCCAAGCATGGTGAACCAGCTCAAACCACTACAAAGGCTGATATCCACCAAAAGAAGGTCTGTCTGTTTGGTGGGATTGGAAGGGTGTCGTATATTTTGAGCTGCTTCCAAGGAACCAAACGATTAATTCGGATGTTTACTGTCAACAATTGGACAAATTGAATACAGCCATCAAGGAGAAGCGACCAGAATTGGACAATCGTAAAGGTGTCATATTCCACCAGGACAACGTTAGACCGCACACATCTTTGGTCACTCGCCAAAAACTGAGTGAGCTTGGCTGTGAACTTTTGATGCATCCACCATATAGCCCTGACCTTGCACCATCAGACTACCATTTATTTCGATCTTTGCAGAACTCCTTAAATGGTAAAACTTTCGTCAATGATGAGGCTATAAAATCGCACTTGGTTCAGTTTTTTGCAGATAAAGTCCAGAAGTTCTATGAGCGTGGAATACTAAATTTGCCAGGAAGATGGCAAAAGGTTATCGAACAAAATGGCAATTATATATTTGATTAAAGTTCATTCTAAGTTTTATTAAAAATGCATTTACCTTCTTTTAAAAAATCCGCAATTACTTTTTGGGCAACCCAATATATTAGACATTATTAGGCCCATTTCACTGTTACCGGTAAAGTGAATTTTGTTACTTTTTATAAACACCCGAAATTGAATTAAGGAGTTCCAGCGCACAGCTTACACTGTTTGACAAAACTTTGGCAGCACTGTTTTTTTTTGTTTTTATTTTTTCTCTAACTAACAATATAAAATCAAACAGCAGATTTTTTTGTTACCTCCTTTTTCGAGGGTAACAAAATTTACAGGGTGACACACAACTCGGAATACGAAATAGTAACAAAATTTACTGGATGGTAAATTTTAATACCAAAATAAATTTTATTACCACAACAGAATAATGCCAATTTCCGGAAACTTTCTGGTCTTAATTATGTATTTTTCATAAGAAGTTTAAAACTTTTCGTTGAAATTATTTTGTTAAAATGTTTGTTATGTTCACAAGACATTATCTGTCAAGACATATTCAGCGAAAAGGGAAGTAAATTACCTTTAAAACCAGAAGGAAGTGCTGTTGTGTCGAGATCTTTATACCCTTCATGCCATATCATATTAATTGCAAAATTCGAAATTCGTTTTTGATGATTTCCTTTATGTAATTATGCCCATAAGTCCTACACACATTCATACATGCGTAGCAAATTTCAAGACCTTTTACACAAAACCTCATTTCAGAACAAATCGATAATTTAACGCAAAAATTTCGTTTTTTGTTTTTCTAGTTATTTACAATATATATATATATTCTTCAACAGTTTTGAATGTTGGCTTCGTTAGTTTTCGAATCCACGACCATGTGACTTGTAGCACACACCATATACGTATGTCATTCTTATTTAGACCCGGGCTTCCTTCATGGATCACCTTCGGACCAGTTAAAGGCAATTAGCAATAGGGAGTAGAATAAATAAATCGGTGGTAGAATGGAAGGATTGATATCAAAAAAACCATTCACTGACGAAAATAAGTAAAAAATCCAAACGGTAGAAAACATGTCCAAAGCTAATATGGCTGCGTAGATGTAGCCATCTTTGCTGTTTATATGAAAATAGATAAAAGCAGATTTGTCCACTAGCAGTAATGTTAAAAGTCTCCAACTCTTCATATTATGAGAGTTTTGGAAACATTTCGAACCTTTTTCATTTACACCTGTACTCACTTCGGGGAAAAGAGTTTCCTTAAAGCTCCTCAAAATATGGTGAAAACCTTACAGAGACGGTTCGTAAAACGAACACATTTTTCGGTCGTCGTCCGACAAGGTGGCCGCAGTACAAAAATTGGTTGAAATAATGAAACTGTTGTGAGAAGTTAGTGATGTGAAGAATAAACACGTACACATCGCTCAAGAACAATTGAGAATGTTGCCATCGAAGAAACCCCAGCTTTGTACATTCCTTGTCGTTCTTTGGAATTGGACAATCCAGAAACGCCATTACACCGTATTTTGCATAAAGACTTGGGACTTGAGACATATAATGTTCAGTTAACACAAAAACTCAAGCCAGCCAATCATCAATAACAACGTGACTTTGCTGATTGGATACTTTAAACGAATGAAAATGTTCCGAAATTTCGTAGAAAAATCATCTCGACTGTTGAGACCCATTACCACCACTATGGCTACGTCAATAAGTAAAACCGTCGCATCTGTGGCTCGGAAAATCCAATATTTATTGTTGAAAAGCTTCTCCATCCTCAACGATTAACTATTTGTTCCGGTTAATGGCCCGGAGTGGTCACTGCAACTTATCAAGAGATGGTTAATAATTTTTTTATGGCCTGATATGGTTGGTGTTGGTCTGGACAACGTTAATTTCCAACAAGGCGGCGCAACGTGCCACACAAGCAATAACCCCATTGAATCTTTTAGGGGACAAGTAGCAAGACCTATAGACCTAAATATATACGGTCATGTAAGCGCAGCCATGACGCTGATATTGTTATTCATTATTAAAAGCTTATCCTTTGATATCAACTTGAAGTTTTGGCGGAAGGTTTATAAGAAGTGGAACAGCCAGTGACTTATTCAAAAAAATCGTAATTATGGCTCGATTTACTTGAAATTCGGTACTTGTGTAGATGGGCTTTTGTGAAAAAAATCGTATTTATAGCTCTTCTGACTTGATATTCTTTATTTACGAGCAGTGAATCGATCTATTTTAAAAAATGTTCGTTTTACTTAAATGCCGAAATTGGAAACTTTTGTTTCTTGGAAATATACCAGAGATCTGCAGCCAAGTTCAATTTGCTCGAAATATAAATAATAATTCGTGTACGGGAAAGGGTTCCCCTATAAATTGACAAAAATTAGTTATTATTAGCAATTATTATTCGTTCAATTTGAGTGTGAATAAGCATAGAACCGAATGATGCGTCTGGCTTACTTCGAGGCATATATAATGACATTTAGTCAAGTAGTTGATCTAACTAAAAATACTTAATATATAGACTTAGTTGAGGCTTTACTGAATGGCTTTATCGTTCTTTCCAATACCAACTAGAATAAAAATTTTACTACCGATTGGAACTACCTAATTATACTAACTCTTCGCATGAATATACGCTTCCTTTCAGACAGGAATAGAAACCTTCAAAGTGATAACGATCTCTGCAATGTCCATATGAAATGGATGATTTCAAGTTTGCGGTTAATAACTTTTTTGTTGTTTTAGGAATTTTGTTTTAGTTTTGTGATAAATTTAGAAGGTGTTAAATACTATTTTCAGTCTACAAATCAGTTTTGTACCATTTATTTTGACGCTGACTGTATGCTTATTTTACAAATTTATTTTTTTTCAATGAAAATTTACTGATGGCGTGTACCGCTTTTAGGACGAAAAATTATGCGTCTAATTATTAACTTAATTACTGGGACTTGTTTACCGTCAATTGTTCACTTTTCCTTAATTTGGCTTTGTTACCAGCCCTTGGAAAATAACACATTTATCTTTAGTTCGAGAGAGTCTCGTATCATATTATCTCTGATACTCAGATGGCAGCTGCTGCAGAGTGCCCTATCAATAACAAGGAGGGAATACCAGCGCCTTAGGAGGCGAACAAAATTGTGTTCGACTTAGTCTTTGCTAGGCGGTTCCTTATGCCGTCTTAGTCTCCTTTGGTGTTTGACATTTGGGCTTGAGAAGCGCGTTTTAGGATTACATTCTGAAGGATAAAAACCCAATTTATAGTACAATAGTTTCACCCACGGGTTCCGCCATGTGATGGCTATCTATTATATGGCTTATGTTGAGGAAAAAAATGAAATATTCAAAATCAAACAGTTTTTTTTTTGACAAAGTTGCAAATACGACGAAGAGGTATGGTTACACTACCTCGCAACAACTCAATGCACTATACTTGGCATCATTGAGTGCGAATATATACACTGTAATGTTCTCACCTTGTGGTTTGGGTACATTTCGTTTTAGTTGCATCCATTTGTACGTTGGTAAATTGCTAGCTTGATTCGGCGATTTGTTGTGTGAGCCAGTTTGACTGGATGAAGATCCCGGTGATGACGGCAAACCCGTGCAGTCTGGCGAAACAACTTGCTGACTACGAGGCGCCATACATGATCCATTCGGTGAGCCATGTTGCTGCAATTGAGGTTGGTGATGTGGAACAAGTTGCTGTGGATGTTGGGGTTGCGGTGGCGTTTGCATGTGTGCCATATTTAAGGCATTCATACCCAAGGGTTCGTTAGGAATGCCACCATCTAGAGCATAACCACCGCTCATATGCTGATGATGCCACATTTGAGGAGTTGATGATTGCTGTTGACTTGCTGACATTTGCAGAAGGGGATCATCGAAGGCTATGCCCGCTGCTCCGTATGTGGAATGCAATACTGCGGCGTACTTTTCCTCCATATTAGCACCATTACTAACATTATTTGGTGGCAATGAAGCATAACTATGTTGCATATGTTGTTGTTGTGGGTGCGTTGAAGCATTCTGGTTGTACAAACAATCCAAATTTGTATAACTTAAGCCATTCTCCGAACTTATGATCGGCGCATCAATCGGTGCAGCTGGATTATTTTGAGCCGCATTAGCTGCAGACACTGGGGAGTTGGTGGTAGGAGGTATAGATGCTACAGCAGCCGTCGCATAGTAAGAATGTACCGAATCGCTTTCATAATACGAATCTGTCGGCGAGTGGCTTGACGGATGTAGTGGGGTACCAGCGGCAGTGCCCGCACCGGAACCAGATGATGTAGTGATACCATATTCGGCAGCACTTGGGCTGAACAGGTGGGCATGTGAATACATTGATTGTTGTTGTTGCTGATGTTGTTGTTGTGTTTGTGGGTGTTGTTGTAGCGATTGTTGTTGTTGCGAAACAGCTGAAGCATTTTGATTTAGACCGGCTTGTGTTTGCTGCAACGACGGCGGAGGTGGTGTTAATTGCTGTTGTTGTTGAGGATAATAGTTAGATGAAGAACCGTCCGTCACATAGCTGGCATAGGTCAAAGGATGTTGGTGATGATGATGAGCTTGGTGATGAGGTGGTGGTATTGCCACACTGGCCGCTGTTGGAAAATACGCATTCGGATAGCCGCTGGAGGAGACCACGGCAGCCATATCGGCGGCTGTGCCAGTGTTATTGGCATGATAGCTGGTTTGATGGTGTGGGTGGTGATTGCCGTACATGCTGCTAATGTCCATCATATTGAATAGACCAGATCCTTTAATATAAAGTCCGAAACACAAGTTTGTTTTATCCGAATTAACTCTGATTTATTGGTGTTTTTTTTTATTATTATTTTATTGCTTAACTTTACACTGTACACAGTTTCATTTGAAAAATTAGTTTAGGTAGAAATATTTTATATTTATAAATTGGCACATTTTTTCGTTATTATTAGCTAAGCTACGAAATTTCTTGTTTTCTTCAATAGTACAAAATCACTAAATATTGGGCTGCACGGGAGTGGGGAAACACTTAACATATTAACATATATAATTACACAAGCTAAACACTTTTTAACATTCGTATTCGCCCATGCACTTTTTCCATTACAATTAAATTTTGTGTTCAGGAATCAACAATTATTTATTTAGTTTAATTTCCAACGATACGCGCTCACAAACACTCCAAATTTATTTTCACAGCGAACATGAATCGTAACTGAATCAGAGCACGATTGCTGGCGAACTACATAGCCTGCCGCTGCAACCACTACCGCCAACACCAATGCGAGCATTACAATCATCACTGTCCCACCACCGCTGATGATAAGCCAGGCTCCGCCTCTTCACCCCAAATCAACGGAAACACTTCTCATCTCTTTTTTAAGCACAGAACAGAATTGAACAAAATGCCGTTCGAGTGAGCGTGACAAACAGATGCAACCATGGGGTTCGATTGGTTGTGTTAGGGAGCAAGCGAGTGAGAATTTGTTGGCTTGCACGACCATATTTTACTGGAATAGAAAAAAGTTATCGACAACGGCAAGGGTATTTGTTTTTCCAATAAGTTTTGTTTGTTAATTTTGTTGGCAGCTAAGTGCCTGTTTTTCTGGCTAGAAATTAGTCACAAAAGTCAAACCGGTTGTTTTGTTGTTATTTCATTATGAATTTCATTTGTTGGTTGCACCGCCCATGGACTTTTTGTTGGTTTAGATTAGAAAAATTATGGCTCTATGACAGTTTTTGGAAAGGAAAAAGGGATAAAAAAAATTTTGGCAAAAAATTAATAAATTTGTAACATATTCATATCCTAGAATTTAATTTGTGGTCACGAAATTTTGAGGTGCAGTGCGCGTCCGCGCTGTTGGAGTCTTTCGCTGGTGGCAGCAGATGCTACAATACAAACAAAGTTAGCTCTCTCAATGGTTGGGTTGTGACAGGAGCAGGAAAACCTTTTGGTAAATGTTGTTGTTTGTGCTGCTGCTGGTGGTTCTGCTCAACATGTCATGTGCAATTTACGCGTCCGACAGCAATGCCCAATGGATTGACATTCAAAGAAATATCTTTTTTCTGTTGCACAGTGGGACTCTTACGCATGTGGACATTGTATGAGCGAGTATTTTATGTATGTGTATACAGCAGTATATGCATTATGGAATGCAGTCCAAAGCCAACATCAGCATCAGCGTTTATTTTGTATCTGCTGTGATTTGGTGGCTGTGGGCGCACCGCCTGACTATCGCCTGTCACTTCGGCATTGCACAGATACTTTATCTCACTTATTTCTTTCTCAGACAGTCGCTGTTGTTGTTATTGTTTTCTTATTACCTACTGTTCGCTGCGTCGATATCTCAATTTTGTTCCTCCTGTTTTGCGCACCTTTCAAAATGCAACTCAAGTACAAATATTCCCTTTTGTGCCTGGTGTTTATATGCATATGTAGTACATATGTACATATATATGCACACATATGTATGTATATGTATTTGTCCCCTGTCTTGAGTCTTTATCTAAAGACGAATATGATTGACATTTTGAAAACTTCTGTCAGTAATTCATGCGGATACGGAATGGTAAATTGTGGTTAGGCTCCATTGCGCTGGATTAACATGTTCCAAAGAAATTAAGGAATGGCCAATGCTCACATATGAGCATATATAACTAATATATTTATTGTGCATGTTTGTATATGGAAGTGTATGTTGTTAATGACAGTGAGTGGACCCTTAGCCAACTCAACACTTACCAACTTTCAAAAAATATTATGTAATTTTTTTGGCAAAAATCTCTTTATATTAAATAAACGCATAGGATCTAGTGAGCGGGCAAACCTTCTAATAGTTATTTTTATTTAAAACTAATTAAAAGTGAATATTATATTCAATAATAAGGATATTGTGGTGTGAAATACGGCATCTGTAAGGGAATTCTCTATAGTATTATATCGATTTTCGGATCGCAAAGAAGACTTAACGATAATTCTAACGATTTTAATATCCAGTGTACTTATTTTAACGATATTCGCTCACGCCGTTGTCATGAGCTACTCGACAAATCGCTAACTAGGCGACGAATATTTTTGAGTTCTTCGCGATATCGACAAAATAATATTTCATTTCGGTTGAAATAAAGTAAAGTGAATCAGGAAATTGGCTAAGTTATACAAAAAATAAAATAAAATTGTAAACAAAAAAGGCTTTTGAGCATTTGGCATACGTTTTATCCCAAGACGAGGAAGTATTGTACCCTTCATCATTGGATAGAAGTTGTCTTCGGGAAGTTGAAGATCGTTTCCACTTGAATTTTTTTAGTTTTTACACTATTAAAATGTTTAAAGGTTCCAACCGCCTTGCGATTCATTGCAACTGGATTCTACCAACGTCCCGTCGGAGAGCAATTGTAAATAACCATGAAAGAGTCAGTCGTTAGTAAGCCATTGCATTCATCGGGTGACAGAAGAAAAACCGAGTTAGCGAATCGCATAATCGTTAGCGCAAGCGACAAAATTCGGAACTTTGCGATCCGACAAATCGTGTCGATAAAAGTTACAGAATTGCATTACTTGACACATGGAATTTTAAATTTACATCTACAAATGAATTAAGGAAGAAAAATGAAGAAAAAAGAAAATTAGTTTCATTATGATGGAAAATTGCATTTGTATTCTCTTGTGGAGGCCTTTGAAAACGCCAAATACGTGTATTTTAGTGCCAGAACAAATCTTAATTTAAGGTGATTTTGGGCAGAGAGGGAAAGCAATTTCCTTGCTCTATTTCAGTGGTGTGGTGAGTTTGCATTGAGAAAGTGCAAAATCAAATACCGTTAAAAGTTTTCTTGAACATTTCAATAACATACAAAAATTCTGCAAGGCAGTTGCCACTTATAAAATACTCAACTTGGTGATTTCTTTCTTACTTTCGGGGTTACCTAAGCATTTGGTATATAATAGAAAACACATATAGATGTATTAAAATATTTGTTTCAAGCCGTCTTTCTTAGGCGGCAGAAATAAGAAAAGAAATATTTTGAAGCATTTTATTTCAAAAAAATTGGAAAGCGTTGACATTTTTTAATTTTTTGCAGAAACTTGTATTCTTAGGGCACTGGAAAGCGCTTGTTAAAATTTAACTTCAAACAGAATCCAGCTGTTTTACAAAATTACTTATTTTCTTTTACAATAATATATAAATGTAATGGAAAATAGATGAATATTTCATATTCATGAGCTTGAGGAAAGATTTGAAGAAGGCTCTGTGTGCCATATTGCTAAGAGAAATTTAATAGAATTTACTTTATTCCCGCTTAGAACAGCAGATTTGCGTTGTCCTTTTCTTCCTCTTCGCAACACTGCCACCTTTTATCTAATATTAAATAAACATTTAACAGGAGGTCGAGATAATGATGCATAATAATGCATACGAAACGTCCGCTGTTTGGGTTCCTGGTCTAAGGGACATCCCAGGAAACTGTGCGACCGATAAGTACATATAAATTTTGCCCATACGAGGTGTGACAATTAAGTAATGAGACTGATTATATTGCTGCCATTGATATATTTGTCATCGCTCTAGCTTGTTTAGTCCGCCTGCTGTGTCGTGTTGAGTAAACGTGTGTTCGTGGTGCTCGCCACGGAAATGGAAAAACGAAATCAAGAGCAAAGCGTCGCGATAAAAGTTTCCGCCAATTTTGGCGAAACAGCTTTGGAAACGTACGCTAAAATTGTAAAAGTGCATAGTGATAGTGCTCTTAGTCATGCCCAAGAGTCTCGATGGCGTAAAGAGTTTAAGGAGACACCAGTCGAGGTGCGGACTGACACGAATGCGCAATGCGAATGGGGTAAACCGTAAATCAAGTCTACTATCGCAAAGTACTACTGAAATCGAGTCAACAGGGTGCACCCACACTTCGCTCTTAAGTGGATCCTTCATCACGACAACGCGCCACGCAACACCGCCCTCAGTGTGTCCCAGTATTTGGCCTCTAAAGGGATCGCCGTTTTGCAACAACCGCCTCCACCGCCCGATATGTCACCTTGTGACTTTTTTTGTTTCCGAGATATCGGTGGTCAAAGAAACCCATTTTGCGTCTATTGAGGACATACAGGCGTGGCGAGGGTACTCGCAGACGAGGTTTTCCAGAAAAGTTACGAAGCTGCCCAAGGGGTCTACTTTGAAGGGGATGGCAGATTGGAGAATAATTTTGAAATGTACGATTTTTATGGAATCAGTCTCATTACTTAATTGCCTTACCTCCTAACGTGGGCATACCTAATGTTTCGCTAAAGTATCTGTTAAGGCTGGCTTTCACCATAAGAGCCAACAGCAGATTGCCACCATGACACCAAGTACAATGTGAACAGACAAATCTGGTCATTGATCCAAATGAACAGACCTAAGTATTTACTTCTGTTAAACAGTATGTCAATAAGCATAACAACCCGCGAAAAAACCTCACACTTAATTATGGGTAATCATGGTAGATGGATGGGCTGCTTCTCAAACGACTTTCGCCGCAGCTGTAGGGCTGCTGCTTGGCATAAAGGACTAAAATAGAAAATTTTGTATAACTTTCTTCACCCAATTCTGCAATATATTAGTGTCATATAAATATATGTATATATAATTGGCGCTTTGTAACCGCTGAAGCGATTTTTCGGCCGAGGTCCTCCTCCAATTATTGGTTTTGTATCTTTATGTTTTTCCAATAAATGAAGGAACCTACAGTTTATACTAAGCCGCCTCCGAATGGCTGATGGTTTTTTATGAGGACCCCCTTTGGCTTATCTTCTTATCCTTACTAGCGCAGACACTGCTTACGGGAATCACATCAACGCACAATCTCGACTTCCACCGGTGGACGCTCTTTCATTCATTCAGACCACATAAACTAGGCAGCGCAGCCGTTGA